AGAGTTCAAACCAGGGGCAGACCTATTATGGATTGATTGGAGTCTCGTGCACCCGTTTACTTGATTATCGTAAACGAAAAAAAAATTAGACGTCTTGAAAGTACACCCACTTAATTTTAAGGACGTCCTTAAATATTTTAAAACTAAGTTTTTAGTATGAATTTAGACTTGGTGAAATGGTCCAAAACCTCTTATATGAAGAACTTTAACCGAAGTAGCGAGACCATTCCATCAAGTTTAATTTCATATTAGAAACTTGGTTTTAAAATATTTCAGGTCATCTTCAATCAAGCAGGTACACCTTTAAGACGTCTAATTTTTTTTTTTACGAGAATTAAGTAAGCGGGTGCACATGACATCGCGCAGTCCTTAGTAGGTATGTTCCTGAATGTTACCCAATAAGGTAAGTAAAGAGATGATTTTTGCTTGTAAATACTAATCCGGTAAAAAATTGAAAAACGGCCCTTGAAAAATATGCCACGTGAAAATGTCTAAAAGAAAATGATTGTTGATAGTTGTTGATAGAGATAAAGCCTAGATGAGATACTCCATAGCGAAAAAGATATAAGTTGTTTTGACAAAGATATTGATATTGCATTATTAAGAGGTCGTTTACTAAACGCTTATCCGGTAAGTGTTAAATGAGTAATTTTCCTTACCAGATGAACATGACAAGGGTAAAAAATCTTACCCTGTAAGAACAATGATAAAGATGAAGAGTCTTACGCGGTAAGTGAGGATGACGATTCTTACCCGGGTAAGGCCTTATCGAGTAAATTGTTGCATACGATACCATTTTGATATACTACAATCTTACCCGATAAAATAAATTACAATATTGACTCTTAATGATAAACGCTTACCAAATAAGCATTTAAATAAACGGTGAGTAAAACAATGTTTAACGGTCCTCAAAATTAGATTGTGAACAAGACAAACTTATTTTTTGAAAAAAAAAAGAGGATAGAAATAATTAATATGTGGATCTCAAGCAATCTAACTCACCCCACGACCTCACATGGTTTGTTTTTCCTTTTATGAGTTTGACACATGGCATCGTGCCATTGGTTGACTTTTGATCATTTAAGAATAAGGGGGTGTTTGAGATTGCTTATTTAAAACAACTTATGTTTTTTTGTAAAAGTGTTTATTAACTTATGTGGTATCAAACTGGAGTTTTGTAAAAAGTGTTTGGATTAACTTACAGCGGTACCAAACTGCAATAAGCTGATAAGTTGTTTTTTAGTGTTTGACAAATTTTGCTTATATCTGTAAAATGACCAAAAAGAACAGAGAGAAGATTGATGTTGTTATATGGAGAAGGGATAAGATTGAGATCGATGTTATCTGGAGGAAAAAAGATAGGTATAAAGGGTAATAGGGTTAAAATGATAAACTGGTAATAAACAGTTTTTCATAAGTCAGGACGGATTAACTTATCAAAAACTGCTTATTACCGGTTTGACACCGATATAAGCAATTTTCTTTTTTCTTATCCAAACACTAGGTATTAGCTTATCACCGGTGCCAGACTGAAATAAGTCAATAAGCAGATAAAATAAGTAATCCCAAACACCCCCTAAGTCTTATTTGATTAAAGAGTACTTTTTTGATAAAATTTAAAAAAAAAAAAAATCAAAATTCATGTTTTTGATTCTCTATCAATAAAGTCTAATATTGACATATTTACGTAACACTAATTTTCAATTATAAGATAAGTTTTTTATGATTTTAGTTACGTTTTAAAATATACAATAATCCGTTTAATCTATTTTTCATACTTAAAATTAAAAAATAATAATGAATTGCAGTTGAAGATTGTATAGGTTGATAAGAAAGACTGTAAATTTTTAATTAAAATTGAATCAGATGAGATTATGGTTAAATACAGTCTAAAAGAATCATACATTCTTATATCAAGAATAAATTTGTACAAGGTTTGTGTTTCAATATATGAAATACAGTGTAGATATCTCTCGGGATTTTATATATGATGATAGTTGCTACCCAATTATAGGGTTCCTTCCACTTTGGGGTCCATTAGCTTTTGATTTATTTAAGGTTTATTTTATATTGATTTAATTTGAAAAACATGAAACTTCATTAAACGTAATACGTATATTTTATAAAAAAAGTACCAGGAATCGGTTAATTGGGACGACTATATATACTTCCCTTTGCTACTATTTTTTTTGTAAGTCCTTACGGCGTTTTCATTTTATTGCATGAATTTCGGGTCTCAAATAACATTATTTACATCTGGGTAATAATGTAGGGTTCGATTTCAGTGAGAATGAAAGTTATGACTGAGAAAAGATGGGAATGGATCTTCACTTCTGGATTAATAATAATTAATGCTTCTTACTTTTTCTATCTTAACTTTTATTTTCACACGTTCTTTCATCTAAACAAGTACCTCTTAGGGGCTGTTTGGCAGTTGTTGAATGATTAAGTGATCAGAATGATTAAGAGACTCTTATGATATAGTTCAAAATGAAATATAATTGTTTGGTAACTGTTTACAATGAAATTAGGGCGCTGAATGGTTAAGGGAGGCCTATGATACAAAATCATTCAGAGGGTTTTGGAACCATTAAGAGACATACTCTTTTTTTGCCAAACAAGATTCACCTCTTAACAATTCAGAGTCCGCCTCTTAATGGAACTATTAAAAGGTAAACAAACAACCCCTTAGGCATTGTTAAGTAAGCTAATTTATTTTTTGGGTACATGTTTGGTTGCACATAAGTTATCTTATAAACTAGTTTATTGAAACGTTACTTGAAGTAATAGTTCATTGTCACTTTTTCTAATTATAACTCCTTGGTTATAAATAAATATTAATAAAATTTAAATATTAATAAGTATTAGTTATCAATTAATATCAATTATACATTAATATTATTTATTAATTATTAACAATAAGTATTAATCATATCAATTATTTTCATATTATTATTCTTTTAATTATTAAATATATTTAGTAATCAAAACACAAATATAACAATTCTCGTAATGTTTAAATAACATAAAAATTAAAGTTATACTTAGTTTATTATAATATACATCAACATGATTTTATGTTACTGATATCAGCTGTTAGTTTATTTTAAAAGAATCTAATTCCGTTAACATACCAATTTTTCTTCCAGAAGTTTAAGCACCTTTCAAATAACAAATACCAGCATAGTTTTATACTTAATTAGACACTGTCGTTAAGCTAAACATAAAACACTATTAAAATAAATCGAATTATTAAATCGGAATCTTGGGGTTGAGGTCATGGCATTTGATATCCAATGAGAAATTCTAAACTTATTATATACCATACGTATCTTATTATATAAAAGTGAAACGAAGCTAAGAAAGTATAAAGTGATGTTATTGTTGATTCGGGATTGAATATTTCTCGATACAATTAGAAAACAACAACTGTCAAAATTTGGTTTGTAGAACTGGTTTCACATGCGACATCATACTTGGGTTGGGTTGAGAAAAGTTGGTGATCGTTTTGGTTATTGAAAAATAATCATATAAAATTAGGTATTATAAGGGGTGTTTGAGATTGCTTATTTGAAACAACTTATTATAAGTTAGAAGGGTTTAACTTCTTTAAAAACTTCTTATTACCGGTTTACATTGGTATAAGTTGTTATTCCAAACACTCAAAATTGCTTATTACCAGTGTCACATCGGAATAAGTCAATAAGTTGTTTTTATAAGCAATCCCAAATACTCCCATAGTCTAGTAGCACGATAATCATATTATTCTCCACGACGCCATTTTTACAGCTTAAATGACTATCATTTCATTAACCGGTATCCGGGATTACTTTTTCCTTTCAAAAATCAATTTGGTTTGGCCAAAATCCATTTGTGTCTATGAAAGAGTGATGCTCCAACGACTAAGTTTGGTCATTTTTTTAAAACTATGAGCATATTTTATGTAAATGAAGATTTTACGTCTGTATAGTTAATATAAAATGTTTGTTTATTAAGCAATTTAAAGAATTTTTTAATAAAAATAAAAAAAAAACACTTTTTGTAGCTTATCTATACTATATTATAAAATATTTGACAAATACTCTTAAAAACCACTTTTAATATGTAAAGTACTGTTTATTAATACATATTACTTAAAACTCAAGATTGCAAGTAGATTGTGCGTAAGTACAACTTATTAAAGCTTCATATCTGAATTCGTGTAACTAACTGAGATAAACATAATCAAATAGAAGATAAACATCTCATTTTAAATATAAAAAATCTAAAATATAATTAAGATAATCATTGAGTTCTAACAGAATACTTTATTCTTATCTTTATAAAAAATTATATTATTAAACCAAAAAAAATTACTTTGTTATTAGATTTAAATTAAATTATAATAAAAAATTAAATTAAAGAATTTACACCCAAAAAACGAGAACTATTGAATAAATTAATTTGATATTAATATCGATTTTTATTTTTTCAAAATTTTATATTATCTTCAAATTTATATAAAAACTAAACAGAGAACTATTAAATAGTTGATTTGATACCAATATCAATTTTACTTTTTAAATTTTTTATTCTATTTTCATATTTATATTAAACTAAAAATAAAAATAAAAAATTTATTTCGTTGCATTACACGAGTAACTAATAGATTTAAATGAGTAGGTCAATTTAGTAAGAACAAATAAATGAAAATAAAAAAGATTGTAAAAAAAAAGGGAAATTAATCAAAGAAGGAAAGAAGGGTATTATGGTAAAAGTAGATGATGATTAACAGGAAACAGAAAAGCATCTTGGAGCGATTTCCCCCAATTACCCCTGGACACTCTGAGAACCTGCTGTTCGACTTTCCATTTTTATCTCCCCACACAAACCCTTCCAACTGTCGCCGTCCGATCTCTATCTCCCTCTCCCACTCCCACTCCCACTCCCACTCCCACTCCTTACCCTCTATCTCCTTTCTTCATACATACTCACTCATTCACTCACTCACTCATCGATCTCCTCAATTTCATATAATCTGTGTAAATATCTTCCTAAACCTCACTACTCGATGTGGGGTCTTCTAATCCAATCGTCTTTTTTGAATCTTCTGATTGAATTTGGTCTTTCTATTCACCAGAATTTGGTTTAATTTGATTTGTGATCTGTTGGAGTTAATATGGAGGATCGGAGCTACAACCACCACCGGATACATGGCATGTCGGATGTGGCTTTCGAGTGTGTGATTCCGTACATACACGATTCACGGGACCGCCAATCTGTTTCCCTTGTGTGCCGGAGATGGTGCGAGCTGGAGGCTCAGACACGCAAGCACGTCATGATTGCCTTGTGTTATACGGCCACGCCGCAGCAGCTTTGGCGGAGGTTCCCGTACCTTGAGTCACTCACGCTGAAAGGGAAACCCCGTGCTGCCATGTATAATCTGATCCCGGAGGATTGGGGTGGCTTTGTGACGCCATGGGTGGAGGAGATTGCGACATCTTTCGCCTGCTTAAGGGACATGCACTTTAGAAGGATGATTGTTAAAGATGAGGATCTTCAACTGCTCGCAACTTCGCGAGGGCATGTTCTTCAGGTTCTTAAGCTTGATAAGTGCTCTGGGTTTTCCACCGATGGGCTACTGCATATTTGTCGATCCTGCAGGTATTTTCGTGATTTTGTAATCCTCTTAGCTTTATGTTAATTGTTAAATCTTCCATAAGTTTGATCTTTCATTCATAATTTTTACTAAAAAAAGTTAAATTCTGATATAATATTAACTTCTGTTTTCTAAATTACTCTTTAACATTCTTTATGCTCTGTTTTTCTTCTTCTTGAATAATCTTTATAAGCAAGGATTTTCCCCCATTCTTAGATCGTATGCTATTGCAAAAGCCATAACGTATTTATTTATATCGTCATAAACGTCGTATCTTTCGTGTACCTGCTGATCAAATGGTACCTCCATCTTCAATGCTGGTGGGGTTTTCATTTTCTGTAGAACGTACATGATATTATTGGGTTCCCTCTTTTACTTTCAATCTTCTTTTATATTGCTTGAAAGAAGAAATGCATTTTTCAACTTATGAGGTTTAAGCAGTACCATTTCCAATTCACACAGTATGATCAAAATATAATATGTTGAGGATATTGGTACATATATTTATATTTGTTGCTTTATAATTTCAAAGCAATGATCAAAATCTTTGATCAATTCAAGAATTTACCATCATTTTCTATAATAAGCATCAAGTTTGAGCTCAAAAGTCAAAAGTTTGTCTTATTGACATGTAGTACTTTATGACTTAGAGCTGTCAAGTAGGTGGAGTTGTCGACTTGTTAGGTTTGATCATTGACCATTTGACCTTTGGCTAGTAATGTGCTAAAAAGAAGCGTCCCAATGATCTTTAGTACTCCATGTCATGTGTAACACCTTGAGGTCCTTGCCTCCATTCTATGTATCATTTAGAAGTCTGAATCATTCAGACAAAATGGCATGTTTTTGATGCATTGCATTTTGAAGTGTATAAGTTAAGAAAAGAGTAGAATGAATACCTTAAAAAGAATAAGCTAAAACTATTTGACAGCACATGAGAATGCAAAGCAAACTAATAATGTAGCCAGAAGGAGAAGAAGATGACTACTGTCAGCTGCTATAGATCCGGAGTTACGATAGGTCTGTAAAGCTTAGTTTCTATTTGTGTTCTTGTTATATGGCACAAGGAGAAATCACTCAGATGCAATGGATGACTGTGAGATGAGACTTGGAAAATGGAAACCAAAGAACACTTGGTATAACTAGATGGAAAGTTGATTCTACACGTGATCAATGATTAGAGAATTGGCAATGTAATGTTCTGCATACCACTGATATATAGGTAATTACTGCTATGGTACCATGTAGAACTTATCAAAACCAGAAACCTTATGCATAGTTAAGGGAATATTCATGGACCATTCTAATCTTATGCATAGTTAAGGGTAATATAATGGACCATTTTGTTTCGGTATCAACAAGTTAGGAAGGACGAAAGCGTTCATGGTGGAACATGTTGTCCCTTCAACTTCCCAATTATTAAATCTCTGAGGCGTTTTAGCGTTGTCCCCTTTATGGAGTATCATATTTATCTTCTTTTCTAGCTAAAGTATATTACATCATCCGACTCTCATTTTTTGATTCCAGATTTTTAGTTTCTGACTTATATGTAGTTGATGATGCAAAATTTTATGCTTTTTGGTATTGCAGGAACCTCAATACCTTATTTCTAGAAGAGAGCCAAGTAATAGAGAAAGATGGAGACTGGCTACATGAGCTTGCTTTAAATAACACTGTTCTTGAAACACTGAACTTCTACATGACAGATCTTTCCAAAGTTAATTTTAAAGATCTTGAACTCATAGCCAGAAAATGCAAGAATTTAGTCTCAGTCAAAATAGGTGATTGTGAAATATTGGACCTTGTTGGTTTCTTTCGAGCTGCTGTTTCGCTAGAAGAATTTGGTGGGGGATGCTTTAACAATCAAGCAGAAGAGTATGCTGCAGTCTCCTATCCCCAAAGATTGTGTCGCTTAGGTCTAAATTACATGAGTACGAATGAGATGCCCATTGTATTTCCCTTTGCGTCCAGGCTCAAGAAGTTGGATCTCCTCTATGCCCTTCTTGACACAGAGGACCACTGCCTCTTGCTCCAACGGAGTCCAAACTTGGAAGTTCTTGAGGTAGTTTCTCATTATCAATTTTGTTTTCTGTCATATACTCTCTCCCCACCAAAACAAGAAATTCATTTGTACTATTTACTCTTAAATGAGCTACTATCCAGATTTTAACTTGATATGAGTTCCTCAGGTATTAGTCCAAAACTGGTAACAAAATTTTATAGCAATTTTGTGATCAGCAAGTGATGGGATTTCTGTATAAGTCGATCTATACCCTATCTTTCTGGAGATGAGGGATTTTTTACTTTTTAGATGCACATTGCTTTTAATCATAGTATGCTTTCTTCATTTTAAACTGTTTCTGGTGATTAGTTACCCGTCCTCTCATCTTGTGTTAGCATAATCAACTGATTGACTTAATGTGTTTTGTTGTAATTGGTACAAGTTTGGGTTGTTGTTTTAGAAGGGACTTAACTTGTGGAGTTCAAACATCTACAATTTTTAGGAACGAGCAGCCTTACATTTGGAATATGAAGGAAACTTCTACTCTCTTTTAGTAACATTTATAGAAAATGGTTCCTGTTATGCCATATATCAATTAATAAAAGTGTTTTGTGTTGTACTTATGGACAGACTAGGAACGTAATTGGAGACCGGGGCATGGAAGTTCTTGCACGTTATTGCAAGAAAATGAAGAGGCTTAGGATTGAGCGAGGTGCTGATGAACAGGAAATGGAAGACGAAGAAGGCATCGTTTCTCAAAGAGGCCTGACTGCCTTAGCACAAGGATGTATTGAGTTGGAATACATTGCTGTGTACGTATCTGATATCACAAACGCAGCTCTGGAATGCATGGGCATGCACTTGAAAAACCTTTGTGATTTTCGTATGGTCTTGCTGGATAGAGAAGAGGTGATTACTGACTTACCCCTTGACAATGGAGTCCGATCTCTATTAAGTGGCTGTCATAAGCTTAGAAGATTTGCTCTCTATCTTCGTCCAGGAGGGTTAACAGATGTGGGTTTGACATATATTGGTCAATACAGCCAAAATATAAAGTGGATGCTGTTAGGTTATGTTGGAGAATCTGATGCAGGGCTTTTAGGCTTCTCTAGAGGCTGCCCTAGTCTACAGAAGCTGGAAGTGAGGGGCTGCTGTTTCAGTGAACAAGCATTGGCTATTGCTGTTTTACATCTTAGGTCTCTAAGATACCTATGGGTACAAGGGTATAGGGGATCCCCCACTGGATGTGATCTCTTAACAATGGCGCGTCCGTTTTGGAATATCGAAGTAATTCCTTCTAGAAGGGTTCTTGCTGGAGAAGACCAAGAGGTTGAGCATCCTGCCCATATACTTGCATACTACTCTCTTGCTGGACCAAGAACAGATTTCCCACCTTCTGTTATCTCGCTTAATTCCATTCCGGTCCTTGATGAATAGCAGAATAGGCATGTGTATATATCTGATTCCACGAGTTTTAAATTTTCCCTTGGCCATCAAACATATTCCTTCTTCAAAAAGGTTCCAGGTGCCTGAGTGGAACTGGTGACGGTGGCTTCATTTCTTCAGTCTATCACAGGCTGAGATAAGTTCTATCTGTTTTTCTTCCCATTTCCTGTATTTTAGCTGTTCATAGGCAATGTTTTTTTCCCTTTTTTTATATATGTTGTCCTCCTCACACCCCCAAAATTAAGTTATTGGTTTTGTTCTAATTCCTAGAACAATGGCCATGTAATAAGTTTGTTGTACTTTGTAATTTTGATAGCGTTTGTGATGTTAATGAGCCATCTTCACCAAGCCTCCATACGTGATCTGTTGTAAAATGAACATGCATATTCATAGTTCTGTTGCATAGAGATTGTCAGATGGCTTATGCTGAGTTACTTAGCAAATCAGTGAATTGCTCGTTGAGAAATGAAGAGTTCCAAATTCCAACATAAGAGCACACATGAGGACACATATTGTTGTTCAGAATTATGTGATTTAACTATTCATGAAATTGCGATTATAGTTGTGAACCACAAAGATTCCTACAAACGGACAGTTCGGTGGTTCTGGAAAGTAGATTAGTCTCAAGATTTGAATTTGCAAGTCAGCAGACATTTGCTGTGGAACATCTACGGTGCATGCATCATCACACATCTTTAGGCTCAGACCAATCAGGTTAGTCAACTTATCATTCTTTTTGTTATGCCATCAAACTTCCTGTTAAATTTCATCGCAGTAGAATTGGATCTAAAATCATGTGTCATTTTGCATGCTTTTAGAAATCTTTTGGTTACAGATTCTTGATTGACCTAAAGAATTCTGTACAACTTTTCAGCCAAGGAAATAATTAACACAGAATCTGCATACTTAATTAAATTTCTACCAGGATTAGTTTTTGTCTTTTGTGATGATCTTTACAAAAGGGGGTTGTTACGTTATAGGAGGACTATCAAGAGTTACCATCAAGGAAGTATAGTAAGCTTTGTGCACATGTTTGTTTGTCTTAGTACTTGAATTATTTTTTCTAGATTTTTAGGTGCTTCTGTTTTGAAGAGGATAAGGATTCAATAATTAATCAAGGCAGTCGTGGATGCATGAAAAGTGACATGTTTTATGACTTCACTCACATTGGTTCGTGGAACCTTAAATATCAAACCGAAGTTGTCACTTTCCTAAAAATTATTGTTTTAACTGAAATAAAGTAGTCCCCTTTACTCTAGGATGAACAAATAAAGATGGTATTTTTTTAGATGGTGGAGATCCCTCTATGAGATTTGTAAATGATATCTACCTTAGGAACTTCTCCTGAGAAAGATAAACATGTAGTGGATGATGATATAGCTAGAACATGATAAACTGTTCTTCCCTTCCAACATATCTATTAAACTTCTACTGAAAATTCATCAATCACATAAAAGGAAGTTAGGAACCATCTTCCTTTTATATATGTATCAATCATATAGTATATTAGAATACTAAAAATGATCATGAATAATAAACAAATCACTGGAATTCAGTTTCTATTTCACTGCACACTAGAATGTAATCGATGCCCTTATATATATTTATACATATATATCTTCATCAACCAAATTCTGAAATATATAGGCCAGATGAAGGAAATGAAGAAAGGAGGTGTATGTTATGAGGCTCTAACATATGTGGGGCATCCCCACTAAGAAAAATGGATCAAAAATAGAATAAAGTGGTGGACCTAAGTGCTTTCACATTGCAACTTGCAGAAAGGTTTCTCCAATTAAAAATTTGTTTTATGAAGTGAGGGCCTTTGTCATACTCCAAATAAAAGTTGAATTAAACCAAATAGTACATAATATACTTTTTTATTGCATACTTCTGTGGCTTATGTATGAAATATAAGGTGGACGTTTGTGTATGGGCACTTAGACTTGGCCTTTTGTGGATGATCCTTCATCCTTGTTTTATAGTTGGCAGTAGTATCAACCACTATATTAGTATAGTACCCATTAGGAAAACCAACAGTAATCATCATTAAGGGACACCATTTCTGTGCTTATTTCTCAAAGCCAAGCCTTGTTTAGAGCTAAAAATGTTGAATTTCGTTAACCGAGATACATAGTATATTTCTTTTCTCAGGATTTGGTTATTTTGACTCTAGGAAAAGAGTTGATACTTGTTTTTATTGGTATGTTCAATCTTTAGATGTGAATTGTGATCTATTCACTCTCTATGCAACCTTGGTGAATCAGAAAATTGAATACTACGGAAAGCTAATTCCTTTTTTTTTCCCTAGGAATACTTTCTTCCAAACATGATTGTCTGGAGATTTTGATGAGATCCGTTGCATTAGTGTTGGTATGATCCGCATAAAAATACGAAGGTAGACAACGTGATAGGTATGTGAATCCAACCTCCCAAATGAGCCCATAAAGGGTATGTTTAAGAACTTCTCTAGCGCCATTGAACGGAACTGAAACTAGAACAAAACTTTGGTTAAAACTTGAGCTAGAGAAGCTTTGATGCTGATTCCCTACCATATCCGTATATATTGCTGGAGATATCTTCCCACCTTTTGTTGGCAACCGAATTCAGGTTGGTGTAAAGTACTTTAAAAAGCTAATCCATGATTAATACATGTAATAGTTTTCTTTCGGTCAAGGAAATGTCAAAATCTTGGGTTTGACTGAAATCAGAAAAGGTTGATGCATTAAATGATAGAAAAATCAATAAAGTAAAATCCTCTATAGCCATTCCAAAACCAAATGCTTGAAACATTAATATATGCCTTGGATTCTTATCTAGATTTCCATTTTATGGTCAAAACTTGCTTCTTTGTTCCATTGGGATCAAATGAAGTGTCAGCTGGAACATCTGCCAGGAAAACTGAAAGATAGGAAGGAACAAACTAGCAAAGGGGACCTTCGGGAATCGTAGAAAATAAAGACTAAGGGTTATTAAATGAAAATCCATAAATATGATCTTTTATTCCAAAGCATAATAACACAATATGCTTGTGGAATGCAGACTCAGCCAGCTCTATTATAAAGGCAACAGTCAACATGCTTGTATTCCTGTGCATATATACTATACATGGTTGTGAAAAGGACGCCAATGGAAACTAAAGTTAGAAGTTAGATATTCTGAAAATTTTGGTAAGAGTGGATGTTGACTCAGCCGCTGACATGGCAGTCTAGCGAACTTATAAAGATATGACTCGGTTAGTTCTTTAGTAACAGAACAGGCCAACTTTGCTTTAACTTTGATAAAGAAAGGCACTCTAGAAGATTTGATATGTAAATCCACAATTTCGCGTTTTATACGTGTGAACCTGAATCACCTGATCATGAATAGCCGTTTAGATATACATATATATATATATATATATATATATAATTCTTTAGAATTTAAAAACAAAATTCCATTCCTGTTGTTGGGTTCAAAATTGAAATCTGGACATTTGATTCTCCAGAAATGGATCCCATTTCAGAAACTTGAACTCAGAGTCTCAGACACAGTTTTTAATAAGTTCTAGGAATTTGTATCGTTATCATAGATGTTATAATCACTAAGACAGAGACATTAAAACAAACTATTGAAATACAAAGAAAGTAGAAGTACATATAAACAGGATTGTTAACGACAAACACAAACTTTGCTTCCTTAACCTTGAACCTGGTACCTTGTAGGTTGGAAATGGAGGCCAGAATTGTAAACTCGGATATTCATTCCATTACCACCATTTCTGTTCAGTTTAGCAATCTCAAATGGGTAAGTCATCACAGTTTCTTCACTTGAGTTGTTCCAGTGAAGCAGGCCTTTTGGTAACCCTAAGGATTTAGATGATCTATCGCTGCCATCTGGGGAATTAGTATTGTCTGGGAGATTGATCATTGTGATATCATGGATGCTAGGTCTCCTCTTCTCTTTCCCATCTGCATTTAGTCTTGCATAATACTTCTGAGCATGACTTGCTACTTGTGTCGGTGTTTTCGTCATCACAAAATTACGAGAAATACTTTTCCAGTCTCCTTTCCCATGAACTTGAAGACCCATCAAGAATCGCCTAAAAAGATCCGATTCAATAAGCCAGAATTGGAACCCTATCTCCTGCTAAATAACAAAATCTACAACTTAGAAACTAGAAAGTTACCTGTGCTCCTCTTCAGTCCAGGGAACACCCTTTCTTTTCTCCTGATCCAAAGATCTGAACTTTGAAGGCCTCTTTCTGAAGATACTGAATCCATGATCTTCCACCAGTTCCAATTTGAAAGAGGAACTGAAATAACCCGGAATCGGTACCAAACCAGCTTCAATATTATTGATATCAGCTTTCAATACCTCATACTGTTTCTTGACGTCGTATTCTGATTTCCCAGGGACCAAAGCGGCCACATTTGACCACCGGTCGGGTGTTTCTGTATCGAATATAGCAAGAGCACTTTCAAACCACGTGTTTTGTTCGTCGGTCCATTGTTTGTTCTTGGTATCTTGCATCACCTTGTTGCTTGAGCTCAAACTGTTGGAAGATGGAGACAATGTCTCCATGGCTGCTTCAATCTGCTCTAGAAATTGGAATACGGACAGAATGATTTAATTTAACCCTTTTTTGAGATTTATTACTAGAACATGTTCAAAGACCCAACACCTGATCAAGAATCAAGAAAATCTTGGAAACTGCTTATACCCTGCCAAATCATATGATTCAAAAAACAAGTTTAAGGATGAAAATTAGTGGGATGAAAGCAAAAGAATCTGACCCTATTGAGTTGGTGGCTGAATTCATGTGTTGCAGATTCAGGAATTGGAAGAATCTGGCTTAATTCTGATCGTGGATGAAGCCAAAAGATAGAAGAATAAGAAAGAGGAAGGAAGACATTCAAAGTGAGTGATTGAAGAAGGTGGCTGCTTGTAATTGGGAGTCTGCTCTTTTGCTGTTTATATACAAAGTGTGTGCTCTCTCACTCTTTAACCCCCCCTTGGCTGCTATTGACGCTGTTACTTTTAAAACACCTTTTATCATGCCATTAAAAAGTTTGTAACATTTCTTTTATTTTATTTTATTTTTTCGTTTCGTTTTATTATTTCATTAAATGAAAGGTCGACATCGGTTCTAATTTGAGCCATCAACTGTACAAGAATCATGTTAGAATGGCTTTCGCCTTGGCATTACTTTTGATCCCTATGTTTTACGCATATGATTCATATCGACTTCAAAAGTATTATTGCAATCTCTATGTCGAGCTGATTGGAGTTAAATATCAGCTTTTTAACTTTACTTTATAAAAAAATAAAAATCGAAAAATAAAAGACGTAGATATTTTAATTTTATTTTTTGATATATGTTTTAAATATATTTTATTAATACAGAATATAAAATAAAAAGCGCCTGTAGCTCAGTGGATAGAGCGTCTGTTTCCTAAGCAGAAAGTCGTAGGTTCGACCCCTACCTGGCGCGTTTATTTTTTGCTTCCAATTTTACCGTTCGTTTTTCTGATGCGCTTCTCATAGGTTTAGAGGTTGTTTGTTTACATGTTAATAGTTTCATTAAGGGAGAAATCTTGTTTGGCAAAAAAAAAAGTTTGTCTCTTTATGGTTCTAAAACCCTCTGCATTATTTTGTATATTGGGTCTTCCTTAACCATTTAGCGCTCTAATTTCATTGTAAACAATTACCAAACAATTATATTTTATTTTGCGTTATATTATGAGAGTTTTCTGATCATTCTAACCACTTAATCATTTTACACCAAACCATTCAGTAACGGCCAAACAACCCCTTACTTTTTTTTTAATAGGTTTTAAAATAAAATATCTTTTATTTACTGTTTAACTGGAAAAAAATGCAAACCGAATTGGAACATTATGTAACATCCACATATTTCATTTAAGGTGTCACGTTATAGATCATCAATAAATAATGAAAATCATTTATTAACTAAAATCCTAAAATTCTTAATTGATGTTTCTTATAGTTAAAATCTTAAATAAATAAATAAATATTATATGATGTCTTAAATGAAAAGTCCGTCTCATACCAGACTAACACATGGATATGCACAAGCTTATACGAGTAGATTAGCAGTAACCTATTGGTGTCCCTTACCTATACCTATCCTGGAAGTAGCTGACTATGAGATGCATATACTAGTCAACACATACATATAATTCACAATCCAAAGTCAAAAGTGCAATAAATGTTCCTTTTTAAAAATTTATATGAGATCTCAATATCATATGGCATGGTCGCTACACGCCAATTATTTGGGAGGGAACTACCCGACCGTTACCCCCAGATTTCCCACAATTCTCCCTTGATTACATAAATCTCGGCATATCAGTAGTGAACCACTCATTTCCTCCGCATTGCATTTAATAACATATGTGAGTTTATCCCGTTTATAAGCATGTGTAAACGTTTAAAATAAAATAAGTAGCACATGGATCCCATAACATCACATACATGCAATACAATTATCATATAACATGTACAAACAAAGCCCATAAAACACATTTCACAGTTAATGCTTAAATAATTTGTACATAGTATTCACCCGAGTGTGAGTCTCATGAAGACTCACTTGTTTCATATAATACTTTTCTATATGAAGTTGTTTCATATATGGTTTTGAAATTGTTTCATGTCATACTTATGAAATTTTAATGAAATTGTTTTATGTATTTCTTTAAAATTAATATAATAAATATGATAATATCCACGATTAACACCATTCATAATAAAAATAATTAATCAACCTCTTATAATTACAATATATATATATATATATATATATATTAAACAAGAGGCAGTGAAGTTGATATTTTAACCAATTTTTCAAAACCCACCCCTCAACTTTCACCAATTATCCAAAAGCAACCCAAAACTTTCCATAACGAAAACCCGATTATCACAATATCCTTCCCTCAAAAGAATCGCGTCTCGGAATTCAATTAGTCAAATAACTGAGGATATTTCCTTCTTATTTTAGACTCCAATTCCCATGTAGCCTCTTGCCCCTTGTGAAATCGCCACTGTACTTCTACCAGACTAATATCTTCAGTTTGTGCCTCTGGGGTTTCCATAAAACTCAATTTTTCATCAATCTAAATTTCAGGTAATGGTACAACCATATTCGGATCATCCAAACATTTCGGCAAATTAGAAACATGGAAAGTGTTATAAATACCGCTGAGCTCCTCTGGTAGCTTTAATAGATACGCTACTTCGCCAACCCATTTACAAATTTTGAACGACCTAATGTACCTCAGACTTAGTTTACCTCTTTTTCTGAAACGTACAATCCCCTTCCAAGGTGAAATTTTCATCATTACACGATCTCCCACTTGAAATTCAATCAGCTTACATCGCTTATCGGCATAACTCTTTTGTCGGTTTTGAGTTGTTTTTATTCTTTCCCAAATTTGATCTATCTTTTTCTGTTGTTAACTGTACAATCTCTGGACCAACTAACTGTTTCTCACACACTTCATTCCAGCATAACAACGTTCGACATTTTTTGTCATGTAGAACTTCATAGGTGTCGTTTGAATGTTGGAATGATAACTGTTTCTGTAAGAAAATTCGATCAACGGTAAATGATTTTCCCATGAACCCCCAAAGTTAATAATACAAGCTCGCAACATATCTTCAAGGGTTTGTATCATTTGCTCACTTTGCCCGTCAGTCTGTGGGTGATACGCCTTAGTCAACCGAATTTGGGATTCCATTGCTTTTTGAAAGTTTCTCCAGAATCTCGAGGCAAATCAATTGTCCCTCTGAAATAATTGACAATGGGACACCCTGTCGAGTTACTATTTCATCAATATAAATCTTCGCAAGTCTTTCCAACAGATATGCCTCTTTAATTGGTAAAAAATGTGCAGATTTATTCAAGTGATCCACAATAACCCAGATAACATCATACCCTTTCGTAGTTCATGGTAGTTTCATTATAAGATCCATCGTTATATGATCCCACTTCCATATTGGTATTTTTAATGATTGCAAATTTCCACAGGGTCGTTGATGTCCTATCTTCACTTGTAGACACGTCAAACATCGTTCTACATATTGTGCAATATCATTTTTCAATCTCGGCCACTAGTAGAATGGTTTCAAATCTTTTGTGCATCTGATTAGTACACGGGAGAATCGAATATCGAGACTTATGACTTCATTCAATATTATTTCACTGTTGTTACCGAAATGAGGCACATAAATTCTACCTTTGAATCATAGAATTTCACGATCGTCCTTTACCAGGTTTGTTAACATTCCTCCGATTCTTTCTACTTGTACATTTTCTTCTTTCACTTCTTCATTCTGACATCTTGAAATCTCATCAAGAACGTTAGGGATCAAATTAGCTCGTAAATGCAATATCTTTGATTGTTCCACTCTTTTCTTTTTGACTAAGTCCGTTACCCACCACATTTGCCTTTCCATGATGATACATAATTTCGCAGTCATAATCATTCACTAACTCCATCCATTGTCTTTGCCTCATGTGTTAACTCTTTTTAATTGAACAAATGTTGAAGATTTTTGTGATCTATATAAATTTGACATTTAGTTACCAGTAGATAATGTCTCCAAATTTTCAGGGCAAAAACGACTGCTGCAAGTTCCATACATGAGTAGGGTATTGTTTTTCATGATCATTCAGTTGTCTGCAAGCATAAGTAATGACTTTTCTCCTTTGCATCAAAACACAACCCAGACCCAACTTTGAAGCATCACTACAAACCACAAAATCTACTACCCCTTCTGGTAGTGACAGTATTGGTGAACTGCACAATTTGTCTTTCAATAACTGGAAGGCTTGTGCTTGTTCTTCTTCCCACACATACTTTACATTCTTTTTTTGTCAACCTTGTCGATGGTGCCGCAATAGAAAATCTTGTATAAACTTTCTTTAATACCCAACTTGCTGCATCAAACATATGATATACCAACTTATCGCATCAAACATATGATACACCAATTAGTCGCATTCCATTGATGCGATAACATGATTTCACGCATCATTTAGATATGATAACCCAATCTTGTTACATCATAAGGATGTGATAACCACCACTAATCGCACCATATAGATGTGATAATCATAACTTCTCGCACCACATGGGTGCGATAAACCCATCATGTCCCATCACAAGGATGCGTTAAACTAACACTTCGATCCAAATCCCAATTTCATCGTATTATACACATGCGATAAAATCAATCCCATCACATCATAAAGATGCGATAACAATAACTCATGATCAGAATATCATCATTTCCAGAAATAGATTATGCCACCCTTATCCCGATATACCTAGCTTCTGATTATGCCATAAATTTAACCAGCTCCTGATTGTGCCAATCTCATTACAAAATATATGCCTCTCCTGATTAATGTCACACTTATCCCAATCAGTTGATAATAATATATCTGTTGGGTCACCTATTGATTTGGTGATGACCCACTGATCTGTTCCTCTACCTTAGCAACACTTAGTAGTTATTGGTTCTTTATATATTGGTGTCTTGGTACATACTTAAGCCATTGGCAAAATCGAAGACTAGCCGATGTGAAGACAGAARGTCAYCGATGCGGTGTTGTGGATCAACTGTCTAATATATAAACCAAGACTCCAAAGTAGCTGAAATGAATATTGAAAATATTTTGATGCTACAAGCCGATTGAAGGAAGATCTTCATAGACCGAAGATTGAAAATCTTCATGGACTCAAGATTGAAGATCTTCATAGACCGAAGATTGAAAATCTTCATGGACTCAAGATTGAAGATCATCCGAAGATTGAAAATCTTCATGGACCGACGATTTGTGAGTAGCTGCTTGAAGCTACATATCCATCCTAAGGAGATCTTCCTACAGACTGACCATATCTCTGCAAAGTTTGTCTCTTGATGAACAATGTTGTATGCACGCTGTATACGATGAAAATGAGATATCAACATTGGTCAAGTCAACCCCTGCCT